AAACACTATTGCAATAAGAAGAAAAATAGAAGAATAAAAGAAAAAACTTTTAAAAAACGTTTTATTAGTTTTTAACCAAAATTTCAAAAAAACAACTTTGAATAGTACATATTTAAAAAAAACTGCTATGGTTTAAAAAAAACACGATGCAAGTGGTTTACACTGATCAAAACACACAAATACCCCGGAGCACTTGCACGAATGAGTAAGAATATAAATGCTACACGGTCAGCTGATGCGGGCCATGGGCGCCGCCATATGCGACATGCGATAGACGGACCAAAAATTTTCAAAAAGTTTCACTAAAAAAATTTAGAATGGTAGGAACACCGAGCAAATTACTTCAATTTTTATTAATTTAAAGCTTTATTAAAATAGTATATTGAAAAACAAGTTTTATTATTGAAGCTCGAATGCAAATTTAAGAAAATGAGTGGCAAAGCCTGTCATTAGTAGTTTTTGAAATATTGAGTATATAAAGCCAAGAATAGGGCTATAAGTAGTCACTATATCCGTTTGTAGACAAAAAATCAAATTTTTCTGAATTATATCAGAAATTGACACTATACAGGATGCGCCAGAATTTTTTTAACATATTTTCCACGTTTATGGTATTTTATCTTACTTGAAATTTTTCTCTGGGGCGCAAGTTCTGACACACCCTGTATGTAAAATTAACCGGAGAATTCGCCTGTACCGTTTTGACCTATGATCTATAGTTTTTTAGTTATGACCTTTTTTATGAAAAACTAAAAATGGCCATTATCCGGAAACGTATTCGTATTGAGCGTAAAGAGCTACACTATAATTAGCAAGTAAATGAACAAAATAATCAGGACGCTTTGCAAGTAATGAAATCATAACAACGCTTATAAACAAACACAACGCGTCAGTTTTGGAATTTGTGTTGAGATTTTCGAAAGTGTTTATTAAGTTAGTTAACTTAAAAATTAAAATTAATTATTTAAATTAATTAAAACTGCACTAGTTAGTGCAGTTAGTAGTGCAAGATGTCGAATGCTGATGATCTACAATGTACTGCTGAAGCAGCGGATAAAATAAGAAAGAAACCACACTGGTAAATGTCAATAATGTCATGGTAAAAGTAAAAACGCTTAGGCGCAAAAATAGAATTTTTACTCGATGGCTCATGTAGTCATAATAGTCACTTTTATAACGTTTGCGGATAAAAATATGTTTTTTTTTATATTTTTTTATATTTTGAACACTTGAATGTGTATTTTTAATGCTTTTATTATTATTATTTTTTTAATGTTGGTAAATAATTCTCGTTGAGTAACTCGCACACTATAAATAGCAACAAAACAAACAAAATTCATTTCAACACTTTGTTAATCTTACGGCAATATTGAAATTGTAAAAATATTCTGAAACTATAATTAACGACAAACATTGCGAGTTAATATTGAAGAAAGGATATTTTTTTATCTTTTATTTACACAAAACTACAATGGAATTGTTACGTTCTCTAGTAAAAAGTTGTACCAAAACTATTTTATGTTACTCTAATTAACCCAAGTTTGAATATTGTTATTAATTTTTTTTTTTTTAATTAAAATGTCAGATATATTTTTATACCCAAATTTTAATAAACCTCATCCGAATTGTTTCTTAAAATGTGACGCAAGGGAAATAAAAATATTTTTGTTTACATTTCCACGCACTAAGCTTTTAATATCAGGGAGCTTAAAAGATTTTGATTTAATAAAAATTTCTTGGAATTTCCTTCCCTCTCCCTTTCTTTGCACCACTCTAAGCAAATCTCTATCACAAGGAAGCTAAAATTACACCCCCTCAAAACCGTCTCATCTACATGATATAATCCCGCGAAATCACCCTTCAAACTCCATACTCACGCGTATCGTCGTATCTAATGTTCATCAATTCCGCGAAACACTTAACATAAGTCGTCTCGTTGATGGGTGTGGGCGGCCAGCAGAGCAACCCATCGGTGGTGACGGGACAGAACCCATCTGGGTGGCTCTCGACGAGGGCTGTGGTCCTGTTGGCGTAGAGATTGGCGCATTGCTGCAAGGTGATGTTGAGTCGGATTTTGATGTCTTCGGTCTCGTTGAGGTCGTTCTCGGAGGTGGGCCACAAGTCGGCGTCGACGGGCTCCTGGTCCTGGGGGAGCGATTCGGGCCAACTCATTGTTGATGCATTTTGACACACGAATCTGCGAAACACAATTGAGGGAGTTAGGTGGACTCTAAGTGGGATTTTCTTTATCAGTTTGTTTGCCTGCTTGATATATGGTTTTATTGTTTTGGGTAAATATGCAGTGGCGCGGTGATAAGTGGTTTTGCGCTTTGGGAGCACAGAAATTGAGTGAATTTGCGAAAATTTTCAAAAATTGGGAGTTCACCCAGACAAGTTTTAATGAAAACATACGCAAGTCACAGCTTCAGAGACTTAAAAAGAGAGCTTTCGTGGGTTTTTTTCGTAAAAAATAGGCAAAAAACAACTTCTAAAATGTTTTTTAAAATTGAATGAATTTGGGAAAATTT